TATTTATTTTTTTTAAACATGGCTGAAAACCATATGGCGATTTTTATTTTTGCTTTTATGATTTTGTACATTGTAAAACATTTTAAAAAATTTACATGCCAAACCTGTTAAAAAAAACTGTAACAACAAAATAATTTCTGTCATATACCACACGTTATAGAAAAGGGTCTGGCATTCCATTCCATAGAATTAGCATTTGGCTCTTTTAAAATAATATTATACACATTTATACTATAGAACATACTTTTATAAAAATTGGTATATTATAATATAAAGAGATTTTGGCAAACCCACGCACATCTTTAGCCAAAAATATACAGTTCTTAATTTTATCAACGTCTTTTTTTTCTCTATTATATATATATATATAATTCTTATTGACTTCTGACCAATAAACATATTTTTGTACTTTAACAGTATAAGTTTACCTTTTTATTGGATTGATTGGTATAATGATGATTCATAAAAATATAAAAAAACTATAAAGACCTTAACGAAGACATCCATAACATAAACATTTTTATGGACGAAAAAATCAATATTAAATTGAAGGTTACAAAAGAATAACTGAACGTTTTTATATTAATTTAAATAAAAATAACTATCTTATGCGCTTCATAATATCGTGAGGATAATATCATTTTTCAGTCTGAAATTTATATTATAACTAGATGCATTTTCATGGAAAACGTACAAAATATAAAACCGGCAGATACAACAAACTTCGGTAATCCTGGGATAATTTCTGTCTTTATCATGACATGATCTTACTGTAAAAGAGGCAAAACTAAAATTTTAATAGGCACTGTTTCTGATTCCATCAAAAACCTCATTTATGTATTTGACTACTTTATGCTTTTATCATAAGTCATTGTTTAGTAAATAAAAATGCAATATTTATATATTTTTTTTTAAGATTTCAAAATATACAACTTAAAGAGTTTTCTCGTATTTTATAATTTTATAACTGACCATCACACATATAAAGTAAGTTCACTCTTGGCGTTGTAAAACGTTAAGTAGAAACTAAAACTATTTTCTTCCCACATAAAGCTTGTATGGTTTGTTTTGGTATTGCAAAGTTCTAATTCTACGAAATTTACTTTCTATAAAACTATCCTTTTCAAAAATAGATTACTACATTTTTATTAATACAATAACGTACATACAAGTTTTGCCGCTAGGAATATTAAATATTTTTCATTTTAAGGAAATTAAATACTAGAAATGAAAAAATATATTATGCCCTCGCAGTGCCAACGCAGGTTGTACGAAATCCTAAGCAAATCATATTTGTGTGACCCATGTGCTATGAATGAGAGGAGATATATCCTCCCAATAAATGTCGTATATGAAATTAAAATCTTTGATACAAATCTATTATCCATAAACTAAATCGTATTTTTAATAATAACACTTTATATTAAAAAAGACACTGCATTTATAAAAGTTTACCCTCTATACAATTATATGTAAAAATAAATGAATAAGATATAATACAACTATAAATAATTGCAACATTTTTATGAATAAAGCATTCATAAAAATTATGAATGCAATTACAAGCCTTTATTATAGAAACTTAAAATTGTATAACTATACTAATTTTTTTTATTTTATACGGCTGTATTGATTTAAGTCTTTTAAATTATTTATATAACTAAAAACTTGTATGAATTTTTTTTTACTGGTATTTCACTTGCTATGTATGTACTCTTGTCACTAAGTATTACTCGTATTTTTAATTATCGCACTTTTTTAAAAATACTATACTAGAAAGGAAAAAAAACTGTAAATAACAATTTTTATAAGAGTCAAAAATATACTTTTCTAAGTCCATTTTTGCAATGATTTCAAATCTGAAATCAGATTTTTCCCATCACCACAAATTTTTTGTATTATTAATAATTAGATAATAACGAGAATTCAAATATAAAAATAGTTAAAATTTATTACAATGACTTTTAGTTCAACTTCCAAGTTTGAAATTGGTATCATTAAATAGAAAATGTTATGAAAATTAAAAAATGGTATTGTAAAGATTAATATACAGTAAAGAAGTTTTATAATTACTATTTATAGTAAATCTATCAGTAAAGTGATATAGTGGCTATCTGGGAGGCCACTTCGTGTTGTGAGTTTTAATGCGACGTTGGTCACCCTAAAGCAATAACCTCACGATAGTTCCAGGGCGGCCCACATTATGTCAACCGTAGAAAAAAAAAGGGGTGGCACTACAATGATGGGGTTCTTGATATTCATTGAAGTTATTGAATCTAAATGAGATAAAAATAGAATGAGTAACATAATATAAAAAATAAATAATTGACATAAAATACAAAACCGAGAATTATAACACAAAAGTAGCATATTTTTGAATACGATAGCCATTTTTACCATAAAGATAAAATAAAGTTCGAAATTTTTTTTGCTCATATTAAAGTATATTTTATAAGATTTAATTCAATATATATATAAAAGTGTCAGTAATTCCGGAACACTTTCAAAAGTTAAGTTGAAAAAGTTAATTTTTGGTGAAAAAGTGCTTGTGGACAGGTGAAATTAAAAAAATATATATACTCAATTATAAATAACTACCTAATATATCTATTAAAAGAAAAATTGTATTTTTTAAAGTGTTATAGCAATTTTAAGTAAAAAAATAAAATAAAAAATTGTCGAAAATTAGCGATTTTTAAATTTTTTTTGAAATTTCCCCCATTTACGGGGAATGAGAGAATTCTTTTCAATTTTTGAGGGTAATGTCTTTTATTAGATACGATTTATGATGATTTGACGTATCATTGAAAGAAATCGGTTTGGTGAGAGCTGAGAAAAAGTGATAACAGACAATCACAAAAAAAAAACACATCGTATTAAAATTAATACCTTCTCAGCTTTGCATCAAAGCTAAAATTCAATGACTTAAAGTAAAGCACATCATCAGTTATTTCATAAACAGACGTATCAAATTAAAAAATTATAATTATAACGGGGAGACAACTAAAGACTGCATAAATTGAAACTCTAGGGTAAGATATTGAATATTTAGAACAAATCTTATTAAAACTTCAGAAATTTTAAAAGACAACTTAAATATTATACAAATGTATTTGAAGTTATTAAAAAAAAATTTTCTCAAAAATAGATAAAAAATTAATTTAACTGTTAAAAATATTAACGAATCCTAACTAATTTATCATAACTGTTTAGAATATATGTATTTTTTAATAGCCTAGTAGAAGTTTACGGTTATGAAAATTTTAGGAGTTTCTATTGTGATAGATTTATGATTAAACCACATGACATTGAAAAAAAAATTATGGTACAATTTAATTATAATTTTCATAGTCGAACTAACGTCGACCATGAACAAGTAATTACTATGTGAAAGTTCTAGATAAATTGTTATGACACAAAAGACGAAAGTTCATTAATGAATAATTTAATAGGCTGTTAAGAAACTAAGGCAAACATTCTTCAGTAAATTAGAATAATAATTGCTGACTATTCCCATACATCATTTACATTTGAATTTATCACATTTATTTTTGTTTTCAGTACAAATATCACCAATTTCTTCTTCTTCTGCAGTATTCAATCTAATGATTGATTTGAAGCAATTTCCATGTTACTCTATCACTAGCCTTCCTCTTCAACTCTTCTATTATCTATTAACTATTTATTTATATTTCACTAATTTTTCCATCAAAATAAGTATTATTTTATTATTAACCCTGCAAATTTTTGTTATAAGAGGTCCCGCGATTTTTTAGCATCACGTATTTTTGTTCATCTTTAGTAAGGTTTGGGAAATAAAACGTTCGGATTTGTCTTTGTTTTCGGATAACGTAGCGTTTAAATGACTGAGGTTATACTGTAATTTTTTCATGAGAGAGACTACGAGAAAAAATGTTTAGGTTTACGAAAGGATTACTTCTTATGAAATGATATATATCTTGGAAAATGTTAGACCTGAGGTTATCTCATATATTTTTTGAAAATGACAGTGTTTTAAAGTTACAAAAATATTTTATAGAAAAATTAATTTACTAATGACACGTGACAAAATGTACGTTTTCATGATGAAAAGATTCAAACTTGCTACAAAATAAACTATAACATTTTTAAAATAACTATATTTGTACAGTTCTTTCAAAGATGCCGATACTTAACTATTATGAAAAATGTGTTAAAAATAATAGTCTTCATCAATATAATACATCAACAATTTAATTAAAATAATTTTTAAATTTAATGAAACACGTTATTATTAAAAAATCACATGCACTGATTTGTTAGGTAATTTCGAGACTATGGTTTAGTCATAAATATTATTGTACTTAATTTTAGTTTTGTAAGTCGTATACAACATGAAAATAATAGAATTTTATTTGCGTTTAAGTTTTATTAAACATTACGTCTATTTTTACTAGATAGTTGGAAAAATTGTTTTATTCTTAAATTTCTAATTATTTTGAAAATTTCATGGAAATTTGAATTTTCTTCGAAATTCATAAGTTATCAGCTATAATATATTCATGAAATCGAACCTTATAGTTCTGANCTAGTTGGAAAAATTGTTTTATTCTTAAATTTCTAATTATTTTGAATATTTCATGGAAATTTGAATTTTCTTCGAAATTCATAAGTTATCAGCTATAATATATTCATGAAATCGAACCTTATAGTTCTGAACAATTTTATAACTAACTAATTTATTGCATCGAAAATAGACTCTGTTCACGTATTTTCTTAACCGAACTGGTATTACTCATGGCTGACAACTCACGTACAAAAAAGTTGTACTCTTCTTTACACGAGGAACTACGAAATTCGGACCGTCTGATGGGCAAGACGTGACAACTCGGTGGAGTTTTCACACGTGTACTATGCATCTTCAACTGCGTGAAATGGTTAAAACGACCACCCTTTGTGTATGCGCGCTGTTGCCGCTGCTAGTTTGCGAATGACCATTGTAAAGTTAGTTGCTTGACGGAATCATCCCGGAACTAACGTCAGCGTTATCCGTAATTTCGATCTACGAAAATGTGCGTAAACCGTCGACAATTCGGAGTTATCACTTGATTGTTAAAATTAATATTTTTTAAGATTGAAAATTGTCCTTTTTTTTCCTTTAAAATTTTCAATAAGAGGATTGTGATTATCGTCATGTTCGACGACCAAATCATATCGGAACCCATGGTGAAAATGCCATAAACTATGTTAGCGGCTACCATTGTGTCTATGTGGGTGTTTAGCGCCCTGGCCGTAACTGTGCGACATGGTCGTTCAAGAATGGCTAGATGGGCGCAACAACACAATGACTTTTCATTGAAAACACAGACTAGTACTCAGTTAATATCTGAGATACTCGATGAATCCGGTCCATCGTCAATGATATCCACCACAGTCGTTGGTAGCCAACACCTTCTGGATAAAGCTAATGCTTTACTGCGTGTTGTCGAGTCACAACAACATCTAGGCGGCAATTGTACCGCCGGCACTGACTTAAACATGGGAGAAGGTGTAGTTGATAGATATGCTCAGGTACGTGTAAAAATATGCAATTGTCAAAAAAATCCCTTAGAGGCTATTGTTAATTTATCTACACTCGCAACTTTTTAACAAACTTTTTTTAAAATTATATTAATAAATTAAGTATATTTATTCATCATTTGAAATAACAGTTTTTATGAGTTGGCATTACAATTACATTCAAAATCCGTTAAATATTAAAGATATTTATGTTTCAACTTTAAGTAATTTCATGTCAATAATTTTGCCCCGAAATATAAAAATTACATAATTTTTCATTAAACTCTTAAATTTAAACACTAAATTACTTAAAAATTTCATTTTAGTTATTAATTTAATGATAAACTGACATTATCATGACATCAAAAATTGTAAAAATCTGCATAAAATTAACAATATAATACTTTTTCAGTTCTGGAGACTTTTTTAAATGATAAATCTGTAAAACTGTATTGTTTTGATGTGAAACTAAGAGGTTATCGATTTTGCTACGATGTGTTTTTATATTTTTGTGTCTGTCGCTTTGCTTGCTCAAATTCTACTTTATCAATTTTGTTATTCTATATATTTGAAGAACTATATCTAGTCGAGGACAATACCCTCAAAAATTGATGAAACTCTCAAAATTTATAATTATTTACCAAACTATCTTAAAAATTGTTGAAAATGGTAAATTTTGATTATTTTTGCAATTTTTAACTTTTATAACTTCTTACAAAAAATTTAGAACAAATGAAAATTTTGGTAACTTAAATAATGTTCTTTCAATTTACATGCTTTTTTTAATGTGACGAAAAATCTAAGTACAATGAGAGTTAATAATAAAAAAAACACAGCAAAGTGGGAGTGTGCTATAGTTGAGACTTGCATAGATGATATCTGACTATGATTAAAATCACTATCTTACAAAACATTTCGATGTGAATCTGTTAAATTTCNTTACATGCTTTTTTTAATGTGACGAAAAATCTAAGTACAATGAGAGTTAATAATAAAAAAAACACAGCAAAGTGGGAGTGTGTTGAGTTAGACTTGTTGAGACTTGCATAGATGATATCTGACTATGATTAAAATCACTATCTTACAAAACATTTCGATGTGAATCTGTTAAATTTCACAATAGTTCATATGTTTGTAATTTTAAAATTTTAGAACAATTGTGAAATGGTTTTTTTTTTTAATTTTGTTCACTTCATGTTCCTTAACATACTACAGGTTTAAAACTGTGAGAAGTTCTGTAACATTTTCAACAATTGAGTTAAACATTTTTTTTTTTCATGTGTAAGTGGTTTTTTTTAACCCACCCCGTACTTGGGTTATACATTGGATTTTCATAAAAAGCATAAAAAAAAAATATTATTGTCTCTAATATATTCTACTTAAATTACAATTGAACCAGTATTTTTAAAAAAGTTATAGCAGTTTCAAAATGCAGAAATTTGTTTTTGGAAATGTCATTTTTTACGGTAGCGTAGTTTTGAGATTTTGTTGACACATAGATCAACAAAATTGGTACAGTGCGAACTGATAATTTTCATGGACATACATAAAAAAAATACATCTTGGTAAACTAATACCTTTTCAGCTTCGCTACGAGATTAAAATGTGTTAAAAATGTTTTTCTTTTCAATTTTTGAAAAAGTTTCGAAAAAACTACATCCATTCAACCATATTAAATGAAGTTTTAAAATAAACTTCCCGATAAAAAAATCGTTCCGACGACTACTCTCAATAAAAAATTTACCGTCTAAGTAGAAATACGTCAAAATTTTATAAAAGAGACAGCTTTTAAATTTTTTTACAATGTTCTGAAAAAATCTGCATCCTTTAAAGCAACATAAAACAAAAACTATTTAACAGTCTTTAAGTTAACTAAAATAAATACGTTCAAGAGACTTTTTATGTATGTAATAATCTTTCAAAGTTATAAATCACAATTTTTTTTCTAATAAATGCTAATTTTTTCTTTTATATTTCACTATACTTTCATCTGATACAGTTACATCGAAGTTTTAAATGATCATAAAACATGGATTAACATCACACTGTACCTAATTTATTGTATATTAAGTTTTAATATATTTATTTTATAGAGTATAAATAACAACTTTTAATGAATATTTTTGCATATTTTATCAATTAATGCATCATATTCGGTAGTTTTTCATATCGTACAGATACGCATATTTCGTTGCTATAAATACTTAAAAATTTGAACTTTAATGATAAAATATAATAAAATATCATCTCATAACTCAAAAAGACCACAATTTAAAACTTTTCGCACAAATTAAATACTATTTAAGAAATTATTATGTTTTTGTAATTTGATCTTCTGATAATTCGAAAAGTGATTTCAAGTTACTAAGAGCGAGTTTCTATAAAACATTTTTGGTTATTTCAAAATATCTTTTTTGTGATAACTGTATCAACTGAATAGACGTCAGTAAAGAAATTTAGTTATTACAACATAAAATATCTTAGGTAAATTTATTATATTAAAGTGGTGTAGTACATAAAACATTTTCAATTATGAGAATTTTTAATTACAACATTTGTAACTAATAGTATAATTTAGCAAGATAAATGGTTATTATAAATTAAAGTCACATAAGTATTTAGTTACTATTCGAGTACATAAATGAAAACTTCTTAATCTTTTCAATCATCATTTTTTAATATATTTTTGGTTTATATATTATCCAATTGAGATTTACTTAAAGTAATATATATTTATATTTCATTTCTTTTATATTATTCTATCTGGTAATTCCGGTACTTCTAAAATATAATTTGAATTTAAGATACGCTAACCTTTTCTAAAATTTAATAATAACTAAAAAACGTTTTTTTCACTATTAAAAAACTTATTTAATATTTAATAGAAATATTGAAGTACTAAGTATGTTTAAATATATTTTTAGGACAACTCCACATTTTTATAAAACAAATATTTATTTGTCATCACTATAGTAAAAATGATAACACTACTTACAGTGAGTACTGTTTATGTTAAGCAGCGTTCAAGGACGGTAATTTAATGGTCAACGATAAATCAATCGCCTTGTATAAAATATCAATTATACATATAGAAAAAAAAGTCAAACAGTTTGTTCAAGTTGAAAAAGGTTGTTAATAAAAATACTAACAAAAAGGCAGTATCAAGAACTTAATAGAAATCAGACGATTGTCAATGCGCCAACGTTTTTCTCCAATAACTGAATCTAAGTTTTTAATTTAGAAGAAAATGGGGAGTTTTCCAAAAGATATTTTGAGTTCACATTGAATTCGATTAAAAGTGTCGTAATACTATAAACTGTTTTCAGTTTTCATATTTTAGTTCATATTATTTACAAAGAAAATTAATCGGTTACATTGTATAATCAATGTTTGTCCACAAAAATAGGAAAACTTTTAATACTCAATAACTTTTAATTCTATTTCATAAAATGTAGTTAAAATAAAAACTGAATTGTTTTAAAATTTTAAGTGTGCCATTAAAGGCATATAAAGAAAAAAGGAAAAGTAAATTAATAAAAAAAAATATTATTAGTTAGCTTTTTAGTGAAATATCACTTTAAGTTAGACAGACAAATATTTTAAATTATAATTACTAGGGCTTAAAATTATATGCACTTATAAACTTTGTTAAGTTATTCTGAACATACCATCAGTTAGTACACATTTTTATTTATTAACTTGAAAACTTATGTAAGTGTGTAAGTAATGTGTCGTTACCGAGGTTATAGTTTTGGGAGGATTAAGGGAGTCTACCCAATACTGCTAAACTAAAACGAAAAATATTTCTACGATATTATATAATCCTATGACAAAACTGCAAAAACATAGGATCTTTTAAAGTGACTCAAACATAATTTATAAATGTATACAATTTCTAGCTCTAATAATTACCATAAAAAGATATAGTATACACCAAGTTAATTGTTTAATCATTTGATTATTGTATTTAATATGACGCTGAAAAAGTGTTTATTTTATTATTATTAGTTTTTTTCTGTGTGTATATGTTTTTTTTTGAAATAAGTTCTCCGCTCCTAATGGAGCTTTCTCAATAATAAATCATAATATAACAAATCACATGTAATCAAGGTTATTAACCTCAAAAATTCAAAAAAATATCTTTATGGAAAATAACAAAGTATGTCATATTTTTCACACATCATTTTTAGATGATTTTTCTCATGTATAGGAAATATATAAGATAAGTCGTCTAACAAATTACGATATTTTGATATTTTTTTAAAAATCTTATGATAAAATACTGGTTAAAACTTTTTGTTGAAAACGTATGAATCAAAATAACTTTTTTTTTACTTAGGTATGCGTAGAATGCTTAGTTGAATGAGGGGAGTGACTAGAAAAGATAGAATTAGTAGCGAACATATAAAAGGAAGTATAGTTGTAGCTTCAATCATAGAAAATATGAGAGAAAATAGACTTAGATCGCTTAGTCATGTAATTAGAAGAGGAATCGGAAGCTGCAAAAACAGTTATAGAAATGAATGTTGAAGAAAGAAGTGGTAGAGGTAAGGAATATTATTGAATGCGATATGAAGACGGCTGATGTGAGCGTAGATTAAGTGGAAGATCTTATCACTTGGAAGTTTAGATTAAGGGTGACCGACCTCAAGTAGTTGGGATTAAGGCGAGGAAAAAGAAGAAGAACTTAGGTATGTTTCTCAAGGCAGGACAAGTTAATATTTTTTTTAAATATTTAACTCAAATACTACAAAAATTATTTAAAAATCGCGTGCACTAAACACATATAGTATGTATTCTAGATTTTTTAGTAATTTTTGTGACATTCGAGTTAAATATTATTTAGTTTTAAATAAATTTTTAAATATATCTTTAGTTTTAAATTTATATATATTAATCAAAATTATGTAATTTTGTCAAACTTACAAAGTATATACTTCATGTGAGACATTTAATAAATACAAATAGAAAAACCCAGCACAGTGGGGTGGTGGCACAGTGGGTTCGTGGCA